CAAAAACAAAAAATGAAAACACTTTCGTTTTCCGTTTTGGTTTTAGAGAAATCAAAAACGAAAAATGAAAACACTTTTGTTTTTCGTTTTGGTTTTTGAGAAATCAAAAACGAAAAATGAAAACACTCTCGTTTTTTGTTTTTTGTTTTTGATATTTCAAAATGAAAAACGAATGGACGCAAATATACACGGACCACTATGCCTATACAAAAAACCGACTCCATCGTCAATTCTAAAAGTGTTGACATAATAAAAAAAACAAGAAACAGCAATCTCGGAATTCATAAGATTAAAAAAAAAACAAAACATGTCATAAGAGATTAATGAACATTAACGGGTGCGCCAATGCCATATATAAAAATGAATGATGAACAAGTCCTTTCGCGGCGACATTTAAACACTCAGATGATCAATCTTGGAATTATTTCGCTTTACGTGTCAGGAAGGAAATAAACGACATTTTGATAACTTTTGTCTTGAAATTAAAAAATCAAAGATATAAAAATCTATTAATTATAATTGAAAGACGTCTAATACAGTTTGAGAAACGCATCACCTGTAATGCAAAAAAAATAAAAATTCAGTAAACAGTATCAACTTGATGTAGGATCATGAGTACCCATTACTTTACATATAGTCAAAAACAAAATCAATATTGGTACCAATAAAAACAATATCTAGAGTTCACTACTGTGTAAAATTGATAATTTTTAAGAACATTAGGATCATTTTTATATCTTCATCGAAAGGGTCAGACTTAAAATGACTTAAAATCTTTACTGAACGATTTCATAGATACAACGATTAAGGTTTGAAAAGTTGGTTGTTCCTGTTTTATTACAAACATCATATTACATCCTTATTGTTACAGTGGTATTTTTATATAGCCTGAAAAAAATTAAGATATGATCAATATAAACGTATTGTCCTTTAAAGTAACTTATTTTTAAAGGTTATATCAAGATAAATTGTAGTAAGCTCTCAAAATATTGTCTTTTTTTGTACTAACATTGTCTTTATGTTCAATTATAGCTTTAAGTTAATGCATAACTGAACATGTATTGCTCTCCAGTTTTTATACACCCGTTTACGGGACTTATTATGGTAGATCGTTGTCCGTCCGTCTGTCCGTTCGTCCGTCTGTCCTGATGTCCGTCCGTCTATCCGTCCGTCGTCAACTTGTCGGACAATAACTCAAAAACGCTTTGACCAATTTTCATGAAACTTTTGTGAATGTTTTATATCTATTGACGTAAGCTTCCTTTCGCTTTTTATAAATCTAAGATTTTACGTTTTAGTTATTGGATTTTCCAGTTTTCGGGCAATAACTCAAAAACGCTTTAACCAATTTTCATTAAACGTTTATAAATTGTTTATATTTATTCACGTGAGCTCCCTTTCGATTTTTATAAATTTAAGAATTTACGTTTCCGAGTTATTGGTTTTTAATTTATAAAAAAGGGGTAATTTTCCAGTTTTCGGACAATAACTCAAAAATGCTTTAATCAGTTTTCATGAAACTTTGGTGACTAGTTTATATCTATTAGAATAAGCTCCCTTTAGTTTTTTTATCTCATTTTCTGATATGACATTGAGGAGTTAAGGAACTTTATTCGTTGAAAACGCGACGGGCGTATCATGCGCTCATGACGCAGCTCTTCATTTAAATTTATTCCCCCGGATTGATATTCTAGTCTTAGAAAGTATAGTATATCTATAATGTAAATTTTGGCATATCAAATAATTGGTGCAGAACAAATTGATACTGTTTATGTAATTCTAGTCCACTGAGCTAGCTTTAAGTAACTGCGAATACTCTGTGTTTTAAGCGGTTATTTTTTTATTTGTTTTTGTGTTTAGTACAATCTGATGTGCCAAGCCTTTTTCATCTGATTTATACAGTGTATTCTAATTTTGTGTTGTTTCTCCACTTTTCCAGGTTATGGATGGGTTGAGCACTCACGTACTTGTTTAACCTTTCCACATTCCGTATACCTGTCCCAAACTAGGAAGGAGTCTTTAATCCAGGGTAGATTTTAGTTTGCCTATCTGCCAGAAATGTTGATCTTTAATTGTTATAACATATATCGGAAAGTTGGTTTTCTTTTTTAAATTGTTTCTCGTTTTGTCATCCCGGGGCCTTTTATATATTCCTTTATGTTATAAGTAAGTCTTCCTGTTTTACGGCGACCTTTAATTGCATATTTTTGTGCTTTTGTCTAGATCTTCAAACGATAGTTGTATCATTGATAATCCTACCATATTTTCCTATTGTTACAATAAAATTGTGAATGTTACAGATTATGCCTTGGGTTTCAAATTATATTCTATACTGTCAACTTCTAGTGAAATTCTTTAACTAATTCACACAATAACAAAGCGTAAGAATGGGATACAAGTATAAAGAAATTCCTCTACCAAAATATAAGAATAAATACATTCACAAAAAGACTGTCAAGATTATTAGTAAGCATCATTTAGAAATCTACAAGTTTAACATACTTAGTAAGCATCGTTTAGAAATCAAAAACATACTTAGTAAGCATCATTTAGAAATCTACAACATACTTTGTAAGCATCATTTAGAAATCTACAACATACCTTACTCGTGGTATGGTGTGCTATTTGATAGGCATATACACCGTTCCCGCCTTGTCAATAGGTATAACCAATGTGTTCTTTTACAATCTATATATTCGTTGAAGAAAACAATGTCAGCATCTTCAATTCAAAAATTGCTATTTATGGTCATGCATTTCATTCTAGACATAACGGTAAAAATATATAGTTAAATCAATGTGCCCATTTAACTGGACGGCTCCATCTTTTTGGTGTGCATTTCATTTACATGATCATTAATTATTAAATAATTTTGTACCGACCTTTATTAACATAAAATTATTAAGAAGTAGGGACAATAGGCCATAGTTGAACCCATTTAGTACGGATTTTTAAGCTACCATTCGTTATTCTAAATCTGTCTTTACATGACCAGGGTAATAAGTAGATGTTTCACAAGAAAAGGTATCCAAGCAATGTTTCAATGTTTAACATTTGATGAGTTACCATAGCAACAAACCAAGACGTTAGTAAATTTATTTAATTTCTTTTTTTCCTTGTTTTATATCGAGTTTTGAGTTATTAAATTGGAATAGAAAAAATCGGCCTCAACAAAATAACAACATTTTAATTTTGTAGGAACATTGCAATTGAAATAGCTATATACACACAACAAGATTTTCTAGGCAATTTTTTGGCTTTTATTTTGCTACGGCCTGTGATTTACATACTAGTACTAAAGACGTCATTGAATAGATTTATTAATTTGTTGACTTTATGCATTTCCCTATACACAGGATATAATAAGCAAAGGATTAAAGGCAATAAGGCACTTTTTGCCAAAATCTAAGTGCAAATTAAAAAGTTACAATATCATGTAAATTGTACATGTTCTTAAATTTGTCAAAACTAAACTAAGGTACAAAATGTTTAGGAAATAAAAACAAGTTTCATATAAAACAAGTTCGCATGGCAACAAACCATGATGCTAATTTTATATTTTGTAACATTACTTGATTTTCCTTGTGTTACATACATTTTTAGGTTGTATGTGACCACATAATTATAAGCAACAACTTTATATTTGGTGACATAAAGTTTCTTACAAAATATATTGTTGTTTCTTGTAATTCATTTATACTTCTTATGCATTTTCAAAAAATATGTGCAAATTTCATATAGTTCTCAAAATTGATTTTCATTGGCCAAAACAAACGGGCCTTAATGCCCCTACTCCTTTAAAATAGATATTAAGCACTAAATTGTCTATTCCCAAACACTTTTTTTTATGAAATTAGCAATATTGCCACTAGTCATGGTAGTAAAACATGATCTGCTTACTCTTCCGGAGCACCCGGTTTTTTTTTGTCTCGTTTTTGTTGCTGAGTCTTTAGTTTTCTGTGTATTTTTTTGTAGAATGTTATTCGCCGCCTCCTCTTTCCTGATCATGGTGTTGTCTGTTTTTATTCGACTTGTTCTTTTTGGTTGTCCCGGTGGTATCTTCCGTCTATTTTTGTATTACCGAGTGCCTTAAACAGTTTATTAATCGTTGCAGAAAAAAAAGAAGACTATCCTTACTTAATATTCCTTGGAAAAAAAGTTTACAAAATTTTAGAAGATTTTATTAATGATTTTATGAGTAGTACAACAGTAACGAGTATATACAATGAGCAATTAAGAGGCAAACATAATCGACAGATTGCAATTACTAAACAAAAAATGCCATAAAAGTTACGTGTAATACAAAATAAGTAAGAAAACATGCGAATATATTTTAATAAATAAATATGAAATAAGTAAAATTAGATGTATTACAAACTGTCACGTAACATCCATATGACAAAGGTATAAATGTAGTGTATTTCATCAATATTGATTGGTATACATATTTCCGCATAGTGTAGACATTCCAATATAAAATTGTTTTTGACTTTTCTGCCTACGCACGTATGTGTGGTGTACAATTTTAGAAGTTTTCCTATGGTGGTTACAAGAACGCATTATTCAGGATAAATATTGTTTCATGTTTTTACAGTCTTTGAAGTTTTTGTAAATATATGTTGAGGCGGATTGAGGCGACGAAAATCAAACAAAGATGTGATTTTCCATTTGTCGTCAGTTTTTTGTTATTTAGATTAACATTTGTCTGACAAAGCGGTATAACTCAGATCTATATTGGTAAATCTGTATGTGTTTAACTACAATGGTTGTTTTTCTTTTTGTTGCAGGTACCCAATAGAAAGAAAATTAAAAAAAAATTTGATGCCTTTATGATATTCCAAATTTGTGTAAAGCAGCAGAATAAAAGTGTTCGAATAGTCATTAATGGTTTTTGATGCAGAATTCTATTTATAAACACCATGTTGCTATCCCTTTAAAAGTTTGGTTGGAATGCCAATACATTTTGGTTGATCAAACGTAAAGTCACTTTATGTTAAAAAAAAAAAAAAAAAAAAAAAACGTGACAAATTGAGGTAAATTGTCAGCTGTCGCTTTTTTTTTGTATTTTAATTTACAGATATACCATGACAATGAAATGAACAGTTATTAGGATAGTTTAAAATATCCGTTGTATAATAGGAGAAAATAATAAATACACCAATGCGCAACTTGATGTCTACAAACAGATATGAAAAGTGCAAGTATGTAGTCAGGCCAAAGCTGTATTTATCAGTATATTACGTTTGCTTGGTGGATAAATTGATGTAGTAGGATTAAAAGGAACAAAACAAACATAAACAATCAAACAAAATAAAGATGAAGAGATAAGGATTTTAATGTACATTTTCTTTGCGTATTGCTGTGTGTTTGTTTATTCTACATTGGCTAGAGGTATAGCGGGAGGGTTGAGGTATCACAAAACATGTTTAACCCCACTGCATTTTTGCGCTTGTCCCAAGTCAGTATGTTTTTAAATTTTAGTTCATTTATATGTTTCGGAGTTTAGTGTGACGTCCATTTTCACTGAACTAGTACACATTGTTGTTAAGGGGCCAGCTGAAGCCTGCCTACGGGTGCGGAATTTTCTCGCTGTGTTGAAGACCCATTGGTGTCCTTGGGCTGTTTTCTGCTCTTTGGTCGGGTTGTTGTCTCTTTGACACATTCCCAATTTCCATTCTCAATTTTATGTACATTTTACATGTTATGTGCATGTAAATGTCCAAACCGCATAACAAGCTGAAAAAGCTATAAAAGGCACCGACATGACAAATGTAAAAAAAATCAAAAGAGTAGGCTAACTTTATTTAGGTATAACACAATAAACAGAAAAAAAAATGATATACAGGAATAAACGTCAACCGCTGAATTACAGGCTCTTGACTCGGGACAGGAACATAAAGAATATGGCGTGTCTAACATGTTTGTTGGCTCCCAACTTTCCCGTAACCTTGGACAGTGGTTCAACAGCACAACATAAGCGGACAAGCTATACAAATGGATTGCAAATGGCTGAAGTGATCAGAACCACACAAAGCACATAAAAAGCTAACAAAAACAACAAGTATGTTAAAACAATGAATAATGGTGTATATAATTGCATGTTGTAAGTCTAAAAAGAAAACAAATTATATATTAAATTTAATTTCAGTATTTCGGAATGAAAATAGACAAAAAGAGAAAATCTTCAAAATGTTGTTATTTGTATGAATTGACTGTGCTAGTTACTCAGAAGTATATCAATTATAAGTAATTTTTGATACATCGTAGTAGTCGGCATAGATGGTCAATGTACATGACATATTGTAGTTATCTCTTAAAGAAAAGACTACTGACCTCCACAAAATCAGTTATTATTAAAGCACCAAAATTACTGGCAGTATTGTCATAATTGAAACTATTTGAACAATTAAACAATTGAGCAATGCCATTTTCAAAGCAATGTCACGGTGATAAAGCTTCACCAAAATGAACATGAAGCAAAAAGTGAAAACATATGTATAAGCACACTAGTTGAATGTTTGGACTGATCTAATCGTTGAATGTAAAACAAAATCAAGGGATAGAGTATACGTAATAGGGATGTATTTTAAATTCTATTGAAATTATTCATGTATTTACAACTTGTTGAACTGCATCTGAATATCAAATACATGATATGTGTAGCTCACAGTTATAAAACAAAATTATGAGGGCATATTTTCGGAAAATCGTAAGTTAAAGTAAATAAAAAAAAATGTTTGCCTCATTCTACGTCCGTTCTTTACATTTAGACCTAATCCACACATATGGAATTGACTGTATCCTCGAGAGTTTCAAGGTCACATTTGTATATTTTTCGACATTTAGATGCAATTCAACGACTTCTTATTGCATGCACAATTCTGTTCAATCCCAAATATCACATATTTACTTTTTACATGTGAATCGAAAAGGTACACTTTTTGTTAGGAGATCCATGCACAAAACCTGTTCATTACCATGATATCATTTTGCAGAGGAAACAGATACATTTGTCATGTTGTAGTATTCTGCTGATTCTATCGGGTCGTAAGTGTGGTCAGATAATCTCGAAGTAACGCTTGTACTTTCATAGAAACAATTCTCTGAAATTTTACTCTTTTCTTCATTTCCTGCGAGAGATTCTTTATTTTCATTCTGAAAATTACTATCTATAGGCTTGCAATGCAATTCTGCAGATTCAAGCGGGTCGTACGTGTGGTCAGATAATCCCGAAGCAACATTTGGACATTCATCGAAACCAGTCTCTCTTATTCTACTCACATCCGATTTACTTGTTAGAGATTCTTTATGTTCGTTCTGAAATTTACGGTCTTTCGACTTGCAGTTCAGTTCTGTAGATTCAAGCGGGTCGTACGTGTGATCAGATAATCTTGAAGCAACATTTGTATATTCATATGACTCAGTCTCTTGAATTCTACTCTCTTCTCCATTTCTTGTCAGAGAATTTCTATTTTTTTTGTCACAATTACTTTCCATAGATCTGTAATGGGAATCATTTGTTAAAATATGTCTGTCCATATGGCAGGCTATTGCAACTGTATGTGTGATAGATAGTCGTGAAAGATATGAAGACATTTTATGACATGATCGGTTCAGTGGCCTTTTAACATCATATAAAAGTACAAAATACCTTCAGTATTTATTTAATTTACACTATCAAAAAAGCACCGCGTAAACTGTGATTTTTGCAGGAGTCTGAAAATTCAACGATCTTACTTATGTAACGCGGACCTGTTTTATGCACCGACCTGATTGAAAACAGTTCACAACTCAGCGTTTTAATCTTGATTGAGATATAAAATATTTAATCATTATAACGGCAAAATGTGTATGTAAACTCCTTAATATATGTTTGCTGGGAAAATTGTAATCAAAGTGTAAGAGTGTCATTCGAATTGATTGGTTAATAAAATATTTTCATAAAAAGTCTTTTCAACCTGAACCCTTGTTTGGTGTTATCTAATCTTACATGAGCGACAAAATATCTTACGGAGCGAAGTGGAAGATATGATCATAATGAAATTTGGCCACTGTGTGTGTGGTGTTCGAATGCCCAGGTAACTATTGTAAGTCGGTCACGAGAAAGCTCGATTTAAAAAAAAAATATATGATAACATTTCAACAGATTTAAAGCACCTTCGACAGTGTTCGATTTGACTTAGAGAACATATGGATATATTTTATCTGAATATGAAATACTTATGTGTGCCTCGTTACTGACAATATGATTTTTTTTTAAAATAAATTGATACTTGAAAAAGTATTATAAAAACTATTGTTGTTTAATGGGAGTTGGAAATCTCTTTGGAATTTAATCGCCCTTCATGGTGTAGTGTCGATAGTTTACAAGTAAATCTTGGGTTGTTAACAATAAGTGGTTATTATTCATGAAATGGACAACAATTTCGCTCAACACATTCAAATTTAGTTTTTCAAGTCATTTTTTTTACATTTTTGATGACCAATTTGTGGTTGAACGACAGCATATTGATCACGTCATTCTACACTGTAGGGAATAATGTAAATGATAAAGTTTTTCTATGTGTCATGTGCTTGTGGTAAGTTGTAACTTGAATACTCCGATGCCATAAAGAATGATTTAAAAAAAAAAAAAAAAAAAAAACTTTTAATCAAATTATGACATGTTTGGTTCATACCTTCGCCGGATGAACACAATGACTACGATGATGCAGACCACTGCAATACAGGCCGCGGGTATTCCTACAGCAAGTCCTGAAATATATGCCGTCCATTGATAAAGGTTTTGATTTGATTCTTATAGTGGAAAGGCTCATATTAAATCAAAATTAATGATAGATTATAAAATAGAAAATATTTCAAAGGTATAAGCTTAATTTTTGTCACATTTGAGTTTATTTGTATCCACGAACTTAAACCGTAATAAAATTTGTATTCCTCAATTCGTCAGAATTTGACATGTTTTCAGTTTTGCTTATCCAAGATTTCGACATTTATCCCTTGTTTTGTAGGATAGCGTTCACGCACTGTGACATATGACAATGCAGGAATATTATTTCGTCCCTAGCTACAGTTTTACATATTCTTCGTTTACATCTTTCATTATTTATCGGTATACCTCTTCGGCTTCTTCAGATTTGCTATGTGCGTACATTACCCTTTAGTATTTTGAATATTTGATGAAGTTTGTTATATCATCAGCCTGATAATCAGGAACATACAAATCCTTAAAGATGACACATCTGGTGAACATATTTCTTTCTCTTTATTCCAACTGAAGTACTATAACTATATTATAGTTAACCTTTGACAAAGATCATAATATTTACCGATTATAAAATTAAGTATGGGTATGAAAATAATCTATTTAGACGACAAAGAAATGTTTTGTCAAAGATCACACAAGGACTCTATCGTAAATACTACTTATTTTTCCTTTTTTCCTATTATTAACAACAATAAAAACAAACATAACAGTTTCAAGAAAAATATTCTCAAAATAGAATAATAATGATAAATCACAAAAAACAAAAGATAACCTATAAATTATGTCTTTCAATATTATATTGGAATTTTAATAATTTCTATTGAAGGTTCTTGTTTTTGTTTATATGATTTCGACTTTGATATTCATCAATTTTTAAGATCTTGAACTGAAAGATTATGATATGTTTGGCTTCTGTGTAAAATAAAAAAAAAAAAAAAACACATTCAGGCGTTTTTCTTGTTGTGAACGTATACTTTTAAACACATGCATGCAACCCGAACTATAACTGGAACATTGCTAAAATTTAAACCTAAGGTTTAACATCGTCTCGAATATATCTCGAACTCGTCCTTTACACTCATGTGTAGGTAACACTATGAGATTTAACGTATTGCATACCTAAGGTTGAGAATTCGAAAGACACTTGATTAGGAGATAAATTCATGAAACATTCCCCTGGTTTGTCTGTACCTATAGCAAAAAAAGAAACATACCTAATGAATTCTGCAATAGAATATTTTCCCAATACACATTTGAGATATGAAACTAAAAAAATAAGTTATAAAACGATTGATTGATCTGTGGTTGCTAAACATTTAACAGCAAATATTACATGCATATTAAGAACGATATAAATACGTACGATTTTATGATAGATCTTCTGAAAAAAACTAATTGCTAACGGTTACATTCTATCGGCTAGCAAACACCAATCAACCATTTTGTGCTTTGAACATTCCAAAAACTGAAGGACGTTTTGTGTTTTACATACAATTGAATTTGCTTTAATGGTTTAAACCACGTGTCTTGGTGTAGAAATTCACCAATAAGAAGAAAACATTAATTTTTATCTCAAATATATCAAATTGACCTTCAGTTCCGGTCGAAGATGAACCCGTAAAGGCGCAATGACTACGTGACAAACTTAAGTTTCCTTTTTATTTATTTCAGTGATGCTATGCTATCGATTACCGAATGGTCAACTGTTTGTCTCATATAAAAGTGTCTGTCATCAAACAGTCAGTGTTATGGCACAAGTTATGATATATAAGATATATTTGTAAACAAAGTTTACAAACGTGAATGTACCTTGACAACATATGGCACCGGCTACTTGTGTTATATTACAACCTTTAACATCCGTCGTATAATTACAATCGAACAAACTTGTCTCAAGTCCTCCACATTGCATGTAATAAGGGGCAGTCTGTAAATCTAGCATGTTGTCAACAACTGTAGCTTTTCCAATCCAGGTTATGTTAAAAGATTTACAGAGCACTCCAGCATCGAAATCATCCCATCCTAGACTACAAAGGTACAGCTGTTGTCCGAGCGAATGGTGATACAATTTTACTCGGTGATCATCATCAAGACTTAGTTCAGGCAGTGTTTTACCTATGGCAATACAAATTAGTATCTAGGAAAACAATAATACTTTAGAAGAGATGGTATTTCCGCTTAATAATACATCTTATGAAATACTTCCAATTTCCATTAAAACAAGCATGTATATAAATTTCTATCCTTTCCAATTTCTTATATCAAATTGTTAACAGTCTTATCAAAAATGCGTGAAGAGTGGAATCCAATGAATACTTCGTTATTTGTTAGCCCATAAAACGATTGATTTGTGCTCCTTCGACGCACTCCGGGAAATCATTAACCAATCTATATTTTTTATGTATCAATCTGCCATGCTCTGCTTTGCATTTTCCTTACATCGATCATTTTTTACACAATATGATTTTTTTTAGTTTTGATAATACCCTTGGGCGTTTGTATTCGATCAGAGCTCTTGTATTCGGCTTTAATGAGGACCTATGCAGTTTAAAACCTTCAGTATATCATATTTTTAATATTCTTATCAATTGAATAAGAAAAGTGTTTAACTTACTTTCATCAGTAACACATGCAGCAGAGGTGATTGACACAATAATGACACAAAAGAGTATTAATTGAAGGCTAATTGTATATTGATAAAAAAAACTTTTAAAAAGTACTCCTCCTGGTGAAATGCATAATGCAATTCCAAACACCAGCTGTTGTATTTTGAAGTAGATTTTAAACAGCAACTTTATATACATGAAAGGAAGGCAATATCTCTTACATATGTTGTTCCCAGAAAAATTTTGTTCAGGATTGAAAAGCAGAAGAAAAACAAATACACTACGTTATAGTTTTGTTTTCAAAGAATAACTTCTCGAATAAGCGTCAATTCAAATATACCACCATAGTGGTCTCGTGGTTGTCTCGAGTACATGCAATCGTTAATTCCAACCCAATCAGGTGAAGCCAAGAAAACTGAAAATTGGTATTTGCTGCCTCTTCTCTCCCCTCTCTCCCCCCCTCCCCAAAAAAATCACATAAAAATACCAGGCTTATAATATTTTGTACGCAAGACGCGCGTTTCGTATGAAAAAAAAATCATCATCATCATCATCATCATCATCATCATCATCATCATCATCATCATCATCATTGTCGTCCGTCGTCATCGTCATCGTCATCATCATCATCGTCATCATCGTCATCGTCATCATCATCGTCATCGTCATCATCATCATCATCGTCATCGTCATCGTCGTCCTCATCGTCATCATCATCATCGTCGTCGTCGTCGTCGTCATCGGCATCACCATCGTCGCCGTTGTCGTCTTTGCATAAGTCATCGGCATCACCATCGTCGCCGTCGTCGTCGTCGCCGTTGTCGTCTTTGCATAAGTCTTCATTAGTACACTTTAGCAAATTTTCTATTGCCGTGAAACGTTTGATGAATAAAAATAGAAGATAGTGTTGTGTTAAGTGTAACTAGATCCTGTGATACAAAAAGGATAACTATGTGATTGATTAATCATTCATTAATGTTAGCATTCAAGGGTTATCTTGCAAAAAGGGGTGGATTAGTTCATTTCAAACAGATAAAATGCAACAAAAGTAAAGATAATTTTGAAAATTTCGGAGATTGATATGAAACTAGTAGTTACTACTGTCAGGTAAATCAAATAAGAAGTAACAAACTAGACATGCAAAGTATCCTTATATGGCCGTTTGAAAAACGTGGACACTGCTATAGAGTTCTTACATTCTTTTTTTGACTTAAAACCATTAACCCTACTTTTAACAAAATAAACTGATACCAAATGCATAAAGAAACCTTTTTCATAATTCCGCGTTCACAACTCGTTTTCAACTAGGAAATTGAACTCAACTACTTTTTTCGATCAGTATCGTCCTGAATTTTTATTTTGTTGGTGGTACATACATGTAAAAAGATGGGACATTACAAATGCCGTAAACATTAAGTATTTTTATATTGAATATTTTTTAAATGATTTGAGTACAGATTCCTTTCAAAGATTTGTTATTATTTCAATTTCTTTTATGTTTAAAAAAAAAACAAGTTGAATTTGCAATTTTTCACATACATCTTTCATCTAATTAAAGTTGTCAGTCATTATCAGGGGCCATTGTTTTCTATTGCAAACAGAATTAGTATAATATGTTGTTTGTTCAAAACTTATGCGACCTAAAATCAATGTTTAAAGGATATTTGCCAAATAATATCTGTTTGCATATCTTACAATGCTGCAATTTGGTTATTTAAAAAAAAGTGGCATATTAACATTGTATTCTGAAAGGCCAATAACTCATCCTAAACTATCAAAATCACATTTTATCCCCTAAATTTTTTTTTTCAGTTTTGCTTCAATTTATCTTTTTTAAAGAATGTATAGTTTAAGAACTCTGCATTCTCGTCATAAAATTCTACAGAGTCCCTATACATTATTCTTATCTATACCATTATAACAGATCATATTAAAATGTGTTTAAACTATTTCCCTCTTCTTAACTAACAGAGCAAAACGATTTCTCAACCGTCTATCACATGTATTTTGCAGCAAAAAAACTAAAAGACATAACCCATTTAGATGAATTATTTTTATAATAAAAAAAAATTGTGTTAAAGGATTCATATCATATAAGCTGAAGGACGGATATTAAGTTTATCAATTTAGTATTTCTGTATTTTGTTTGTTCCGAACATATGTTATATTTGCAGTTAAAAAAATAGTTTGAATAAAAAAACAAAATCAATAACCTGATGACGTGCTTCGTATGGTCTCTGTAACTAGAGGATTTGCTGGTCCTGAAAGGAAATGGATACAGATTATCACTGCTGATTTTTCAATATATAATATCATTCAAATGACACCAAAGCATAAAACTCACACGCGAAAGAAACTCTGTAATTTCAAATCCCCTGAAGAAATGCAATAATAGCTAATGTCAATAACTTTGAATCAAAACGAATTGAGAACGCAAAAACCATTCTACGGTCTTTGACAATGTGCAAAACCCATACCGCAAAGTAAGCTCGAGAAGTCCCGGTAATGACAAAATGGTAATAATTCAAAAAGGGAAAACAACACTAGTATTTCGTCTGTTTTATTACAAAACCAAACAAAAAGATGTATTCTACAGTAGACCGGAAACTAGTTGAAAGAAAAAAAAAATAGTTTACCTGAAGCCGAGATCAAAGAAAGTTTGACGTTTTAAGGTAAACTATGTTCTTTTTATCAGACATTCTTTTATATAATATCAATTGATTAAACAAATGTTCGGAAGTCCTAACTCATATGTTATGCTGTGTGTTTAATTATGTTTATTCAATATAAAAGCTATATTATCCTTACCTTTACACACATAGGAAATACTGGCGAATCTCTTATGGAAAAGACTCGAGTGCCTAGTTTTATCTGCTGAGCAAATGTTTTTGCCATCGCATAATGTTATAAGACTTTTTTTAACATAACTGGTGTCTAAACTAGTACATCCACTTGCATCATTGTATTCCGTGACATTGGTAATACGAATACGGTACCAACGACTACAACCCACTTCTGCTAACGAATCTGCACAGATATGCACAGTTTTATCATGATAATTGATACGCAAGAACCATGCTGAAGACACGGAAAAGAAAAAAAAAAGAAGTAAATCAATTAATTATATAAGATATAAAATATGTTGATGTCATTTAAATCATATATCAATAAGTCATATTAACATGAAAATTCGCAATACGATTGCTTTATACATGTTATACACAATATAACTATGCAATACTGGATGTAAAATAGTGTTTTTGCTGAAAAAATATTCAAGCAGGTAGAATTATACTACGTCAATAAATGTATGATAACATCTTGTAAAAGTATGTTTTTTCAATGTTGGGAAGGTAGTCAGGTAAACAAATCGTGAATTGCCTCTGAAGAATGATCTTCACGCCAAAATATCTACGACAGTCATTAAGCTAGAATTGATTATTCTATGTAGACAAATCCCGCGTCCGGCGTACCAGGTTAATAGGCTTCTTTGGTGAGTTTCTACAACCACTGTTCGATGCTACTATGCATAATCGAACTTGCAAGACATTTCTGTTTTGACCATTCGACGATTACTTTTATGCTACAAACATGTTTCGTGTTCATTGAAATCGATATTACACAATAATATTATGCCTTTCATTTTTCCACCATTACAAAGCTTTTCAGAAATCCTGGTGACATAAATATTAAAAAAATCAAGACATAAATGCAGCTAAGCAAGCTCATTAAATGATAGCAAAGTTTTCTGACGGAAAATCTGGTTATTATATTGGGTCAGCACGGTGGGTGACTGCAGATTTTCCCTCGCAATAACTTGGGAACGGTTAAACTAAAGATTTTCAAATTTTCATCAGTTGTTATGATTACAAAACTGATTCGAGTTCCATATGGATAATTTTCGACAATGTCTTCAGGAATTATTTGTCACTGATGAATTGGAAAATGACACTTTATGTCGTTCCATGCAATACCTTGTGAACCGTTCAACCAATCTTTGTTTTCAATACTACGTGTTACTTATGACAACATTGATGAACAGTTCGATATTGACGATGTTTGTTTTTGCTGTTTATGAGTTATGGTTCTTGGTTAATAGCAAAATGTCACTTACTGTCAATTACGTTCGGTAACTTTAGATCAGTTCATCTTAAACTTTTTCGAATTAAATATGTTGATTCTCATTACAAAATTGATATCAATTAACTCTTCATAGATACCAAGTCAGGTGTTTCAGTAAAGGATATTATTTAATTGCTTTAACAATGACACTTATAATTGCAAGAAAAATCCCGGTTTAATGTAATTTTTACATCCTTTTGTTATTTTATTATGTTTATCCCAACAAACATAACTTTGTTTTTGTTCACTTTTCGCTTTATCTCAGTGTGAAATTTGTTTCTATAATATTTAATTCGTTATTTTGTTTAGGGAAATTCAATGATGCAAGAACCAGCAATGTAAATGCAGTAAAAGAGTGGTATATTCCCTTAACGAGAACGCAAGACAACTACACAAAAGACCAGAAACACATAGAGGTCAACTTAAGGTCATCAAGAATAGAATAGACTCTTTGCAATATGTGAAGATCAATAATGCCCAGTTTAGAAAAAAGTTGTGAAATTCTTAGCTTATATAGGAAAAAAGAAAGTAAGCAGTATCCTTTAACTTCATTTTCGCTTTACAGATGATGTTCTCTTATAAAATAATTCAAAATTTGGTAACTATGTTGAACACACATATCCCATCTAACTTGAGATAAAGGATACAACAGATACAGTTAAGTCTGCCTCATATCGTGACTTACGTCTAGAAATTGACAATCTGGGTCGGTTGAAAACAAAACGTTACGACACAAGAAATGATTTCAGCTTTCCAATTATGAATTGTCCATTTCTCTGTAGCAACATTTCAGCAGCTCCTGCATACGGAGTACATACATCCTAGTTGATATGATATTCAA